AATCAGGATCTTACTTTTCTCAAATTTGGAGATGTATGTAACAGCTGACGAAGAGGCTGGTGAAGGGCAAGGTGTGCTTGATGTTGTTTTTGGAGGAGAGGGAGAGATCTGAAGTACTGCAGATGGTGAAGGTGGGCATGATGCTGTCTTTGTAGGAGTGGGAGGGATCTGAGGGACTGGAGATGGTGACGGTGGGCGTGATGCTGTCTTTGTAGGAGTGGGAGGGATCCGAGGTACTGGAGATGGTGACGGTGGGCGTGATGCTGCCTTTGTAGGAGTAGGAGGGATCCGAGGGACTGGAGATGAAGGGACTCCATCACTTTGCTTGGCAATAAAGGATTTTTGCGGTTTGTCCGCATAGGGAACAAGATGATCCACATTTATTTTCAGGAACTTTGTTCCATCTTCACCTAATAAGTCTGCATTTTTCCCCTCTGTTGCAAGAATCTTAAATGGCCCTAAAAGGTCTTTCTCCAGTTCTCCCCCTTTTCGCTGTTGACTCCTAACATTCCTTCGGAGTACCAAATCTTCAATTTTGAATTGATACGGCTTGGCACCAGAACTCTTGTCCTTTCTTTGCCTAATTTTGTCCCTGGTTGTCTTCATGTTCTCTTTGACATAATTGAACACCTGGTCCTGCATTTGCAGAGCGGGAGTTATTATTTCTTTCAATAGCCCTTCCTCCACTGATTCATTTATCTAAAGAACAAAAAGACAATTAAGGATTTTGACTTTAACAGAAACAAAATATTGTTTTTAAATAGACATAAAAATAACAACTGCCTTTTTTTTGGCCAGTTTTTATTTGACTACTTACGTCAAAAGACTCAGGGACCTCAGACAGATAATGTGCTTCCCGTCCAAATAGGAGGAAGTAAGGGGAATACTTTGTTGTTAGGTGTTTTTTTGTTCGTATGTTAAAAAGGACTGCGTCCAGATAAAGGTCCCATTTATCCAGTCTGTCTTGGCAAAGTTTTGCCAGGGCCCTAGACATAAAATAGAAGAGATCACATACCAAGTACATGATAACTGTCATTGTGAAGCAGAAATAAAAGTTTAAATGAGACCTCCCTCTGTATGGTTCCATTCATTTTCTCCACAAGACTATTTGTCTGAGGGTGGTATGGGGAACACAGACTCCATGAAATCCCAAAGACATAATTATTTAATACTACGTCATTTACACTATTTACCATTTATAGTCTCTTACGGTAAAACATACGTTGTTCACAGCACTTGTAATTTAAAACTATAAATCTATACATCCAACCATCCATTCAGGCCTTATAATCAGTGCTATATTGTAATAACAATCCTTTTATCATGCTAGCGGCCGCGCGTGGCCTACAGCCTCTCCAAGACAGCCTAGGGCGCAAGGGGACAATCTGATCAGCGTGCCAAACAATTGCAATAGAAATATACTTTTAATGATTATTAATGTGATATTAGGCCTATTACTTTTAGAAATAAAAAATATGCAGAAAATATAGGTTTTATATGTACTTACCTTTAACAGCATACTGATGTGTACGTCTTCGGATGATATATCTTTCCGACTTTCTCAGATTTTCTGGATATTTTCCAGAAGTCAAATATATCAGAACCTCATTGTACAAAGTTGGGTCCATTTTGCAACCTATACACTTTTCAGGTTAACACAACATATAATTTATGACCTTTTCTTAGGTAGTAACGCTTTGCTATTCAACTTCCACTGCACGCGACTACGCTCAGAACGCGCATAAATCGTTGAATGGCAAAATTGTCACATTTGCATAGTGAAGTAGTTTACAGCACCACTAATTAGTTATTGCTTTTAAATTATTACATCAATTAAAATATTAGACATATTAGCTAAATAGCTAAATATATTAGCGAAATATTACAGAGATTTATTGGTAATGATACATTTACATTTATTTATTATTTAATATTATTTATTATATATTTGTTTTGTCGTTCTTTTATTCTTTAATTCGAATATGTTTTCTTTCTTTTATTTATTTTTTGCCTGCTTGCTTGCAGTTTTATTAATTTAAAATAGTTTTATAATTGACTATGTAATGGAGCTTATTAG